AGTATACACACAAAGGTCATTCAACAACTGATCCTCTCGACATACGACAGTATACACACAAAGGTCATTCAACAACTGATCCTCTCAACATACGACAGTATACACACAAAGGCCAAAAATCATTCTACGAAATATATGGCGTTCAACTTATCCAAAGAAGGCGCAGATGTGGACAAACTGCCAATATCATTTCCTGGCTAGTTAACTTAACAGAATTTTAGAACCTTCTTCATTTGAAGAAGAGCGAAGATCCCATTTCACAACAACAATTTCACAAGCTCGTATAAGATCACGATTTTATTTCACTGATGACTAGCAGCAATATATCCAATAATTCATCGGTTCTCCTGCCATTAACTAGACATGATGTTTTCCTTCCTCGCAATGGACATGGAGATACCGTTTTGCTTGTCATGATCGTTATCAACGCTGTTATGGCTGTTGTAGCCAGTTGCAGTAATGCTGTGGTCATTTACACCATTTCAAGAACACCTTCTCTACAAACTCCCTCCAATATTCTCATTCTTGGTCTCGCCATTTCGGATTTTAGCCTTGGTGTCTTCGCACAGCCTTTTCTAATTGTCCGTCTGTTTGCACAATTGGAATACAACCCAAGGCTTTATCGCTGGTGTAACGTAATCTTCCTGGCGAGTGGATGGAGTCTTTCTGTGGTTTCCATCTTGACATTGACCATGGTTATTGCGGATCGATTCCTCGCCATCCACTTGCACTTGCGATACCAAGAACTGATTACAACCAAGCGCCACATGATCATTCTTGGAATCATTTGGCTTGTCTCGCCATGGTTTGGCGCATATAATGGCATGCACGATACAGACAAGGCGTTCCGTTATGTGTACATCGCTTCACTGTCCTTGCTAACAACTTTGAATGGATATTTTATCTTGAATATTCATCGAGCAATTCGCAGGCACTCAGTTCAAATCCAGGTAAATACGGTGGGCCAGGACATGCCTAGGCATAAAAAATCCGTGAAAATCATGTATTTCATGACTGGTGCATTTGTATTGTGCTATGGTCCTTATTCTGCAATCTTGGTTGCCAGACAGATAGTGCCAAAGATGACTCTAATCTTTAATTTTTGTATCCTTGGCTCAACGACCCTCTTGATGTTCAATAGTGTACTAAATCCAATCATTTATTTTTGGAGAATCGAAGAGATGCGAAATGCTGCGCTGGTATTATTGCAGAAGACAAGGCGATGTTGGCACATGAATTGAACAGCTCAAGAAAAGAAAGATACACTAGGAGCACAGCATTTTTCAAAAAATTATCTATACCCTGAAACAACGACGATGTGGGCACATGAATTAAACACTTTAAGAAAAGACTAGATACGCCTGGAGCCGAAAAAACACCTTTTCAAAACTTTTATCGATACCCTGAAACGATCTCTGTGCTGATCAAAGTCAGTACACGGCTAACTCGCAGATGGAACCCTGAAACAACCACTGGACGTCTGATCAAAGTAGAACATCTTTGACTTTTCAACTCCTAAAATTTTATCTTGCAAAGTAAGCTTCAATTTCGTTTTCGTTTTCGAAAACCGGGGTGAACATGCTTTGAAAGCAAATGGTTGACTCCCAGTATATCATCATAACACCTGCTACACCGGTTTTAATTACATATCACGCTTTTCATACACACTGCGACTATTCTGCGGACTATATTACTGTGTTCATTTCAGCTTAAAGTATGGGTTACTAGATACATTGGAGTCCCTGAGTATGGATAAATTCACGGAGTTTTCAGGGAGGTTAAGTGAGTAATACAGTGAAGTACAATGCTAGATGCAGATAACAAGACAATCATCTAAGTACCGTACTAAGTTTAAAAAAATACTGTCCAGTACTAGAGAATATGTTACGAGTGTAAAACTAAACTGCAACTGAAATCAAAGGAAACCTAAAAAAAATAAGATTCTGAGAAACAAACTCATAAAAATGCGAATAATCGTCTTTGTTACTAAAAGTTCTTGAGATAAATGCTTTGCATTGTGAACGTCGCAAACACTGAGTGAGATCTTAAAAGATACCCACAAAAAAGGAAACGATATTGTACTTCCGTTTTCTCAATCCATTAGCGTCAAATTACATTTGCTCATTGTTTTCTGAGTAGAGAAGAGTGACAGTTCACTTGTCTTCGTCCACTGGTTTCAAACGTGTGGCATTTGTCTGCAGGATTACAATATCAAGAGAAAAGTCTTCTGAAAATATCGTGCGCAATTTCAGTGTCTATAACAATTAATCAAATAAGGAAAAGTAAAAAGTGGTCCTGACGTTGTTTCCATTGGTTTCAAACACCCTGCGTTTGTCTGCAGGATAACAATACAAAATTTATTCTGAAAACAGTGTGCGCACTTTGTCTATAGTGATTACTCAAATAAAGAAAAGTAAAAAATGGCCCTAGAGTTGTCAGCTTCGAGGGGGTTTAAACGTCTTGCGTTTGTCAGCAGGATTACAATATGAAATAGAAAAACATCTTCTAAAGCAGCGCGCGCACTTTCTCTACAGAGAATCAAATAAGAAAAAGTGAGTGGTCCTTCACCTGTCTTCCATTTCAGTGAGAACTTTCAAAACATAACGAGCATCTATCAATTCCGAATTGAACGACAAGATCGTACACTCAACAAAATGGAGCAACTTAATTGGGATTTAATTGTACTCCTCTTGTCCAGAATCGAGTAATTTTGTTGAGTGTATCATAACCAAAGAACACATCTTCTGAATGCCGTGCACGCACTTTCTCTAGATTAATTCAAAGGTTTAATACTAGATTTCTGTAAGATAAAACCTGAAATCATTCTACAAAATATATGGCGTTCAACTTATCCAAAGAAGGCGCCGATGTGGCCAAACTGCCAATATCATTTCCTAGTTAACAGAATTCTAGAACCTTCTTCATTTGATGGCAGGAAGAAGAGTGAAGATCTACTTTCACAACAACAAGTTCACAAGCTCGCAGGATCCGTGAAACACTGCATAATCGACGTAAGACGCCGGAAATGAACCGGGACATTGGCTATCAACCTATGACACACTCGAGCACTTTAGATCTGAGAACGACGCTGCGCGTCAGATCAAACACAGCATTGACAAAGACTACTGGATCAATGGCTGTCGAAAGCTTTGTTGCTCGCTTTTATCTTTAGCTGGTGGGCAAAAATATTCTTTACACTTTGAACAATGTCCCAGCAAAAGATTCTTCACTAGTTCACTTATCTCAGCAACGTTAAAATAAGAAATAATTAACACATCAAATACCAATGCAGGTTTAAAGTTACGGCTAAAGCCCCGTTTACACTAGCGATTTTTGCGGCGATTTTTGCTGCGATTTTTTTTGGCGATCCTGTCCATAATAAATCATGGTACAGAATTTACTTGTAAAGTTTTATTCAGGATACCAAGATTTTCCTAGACGAATGTCTCTTTTGAAGGATGAGACAAAAGATTTTATGTTTTCGAAAATTGCCACAAAAAACGCAGTAAAAATCGCCGCAAACATCGCCAGGGTAAACGGGGCTCAATGGTCCACCTTTCCTTCCCTCAAAACCATCACAGCTATAACTCTTACTTGCCATGATCGTTATCAACGCTGTTATGGCTGTTGTAGCCAGCTGCAGTAATGCTGTGGTCATTTACACCATTTCAAGAACGCCTTCTCTACAAACTCCCTCCAATATTCTTATTCTTTGTCTCGCTATCTCTGATCTGAGTGTTGCGATCTTTGCACAGCCATGTCTATGCTTTCTTTCTTTGCTGAAGTGAAGTTTTGTTTTAATCTGCGCAGCAACAGGAAAAAAGAGTGTCAAAGGTCAAAAGGTCTCGCGTTGAACTGGATGGTTTTTGATGGTTCCATATCACTTGAGACCGAGAAAGAGAGAAGAGAATAAGTTCAAGGCTGCACAATAAGAAGGCAACAGGAAAAAAGAGTGTCAAAGGTCAAAAGGTCTCGCGTTGAGTTGGATGGTTTTTGATGTCTTCTTTAAAAGCCATTACACTTGAGACAGAGAAAGAGAGAAGACAATTAGACCAAGGCTGCACAATAAGAAGGCAACAGGAAAAAAGAGTGTCAAAGGTCAAAAGGTCTCGCGTTGAACTGGATGGTTTTTGATGCCTCCATATCACTTGAGACCGAGAAAGAGAGAAGAGAATAAGTTCAAGGCTGCACAATAAGAAGGCAACAGGAAGGAAGAGTGTCAAAGGTCAAAAGGTCTCGCTTTGCGCTGGCTTGATTTTGATTGCTTATCTAAGCACGCTTTAATGGCCATCACACTTCTTGAGAGAGATAAAGAAAGAGAGAGAGAGAGACCACAAACAGACGACAAAAACCTCTTCTATGCCGATATGTTTTAGCACTTTCATCCTGACAACTTGAATAACACTTGTATAAGCCTTATTGAAATAGTCGACTTTCAATTATAGTTCTTTTTGATAATTCATCCAGGTAAAGAAACTCTTGCCAATACTACCCATTATCAAGCCGTACAATCAATACTAGTTCAAGATGAACTAATTTGTTTTACCTTCTTATTACTCTTGAAGAACACACATTGGTGACAGTTCCTCGCTAAATGACATATTATCGGAGATCAAACTTGTCGAGACAGTTACCTCAAGCGAATCCAAAGTATTATCAAGATAAGTCATCTGCGAGTCTAGAAAGACTAGAAAAACAGAAAGACGCAAAGCGCAGTGGTCAGGTGTTTTCTTAGCATCCCAAGTGATTTGGTCAGACAGAGTATCTATAGCTTACAGTCAAACCACCTTCTTTATTTTTCGAATATTGAAGACTACTTTTCAATAATGTATGTTCTTACGAATAATGAAATCAAGAATCCAAAAAAAGTTCACGCTTAAGATGGTTTGACTATAAAACTGCTTTATATCTCTATTATAGAATACTGAGACTATACTGAATAAGCGCACAAAATAACGAAGAAAAAAAACCAAATGTCTGAGGGCGCACCAAAACCAATACAGCTTTTTCAACAAAAAAAATTGCAGAAAAAATCTATTGATTAAAATGAAAAAAAAAAAAAGAATATGAAAATGATTATGAATTTTTAGTTTTCCCCCCTATCGGTTCTCAAAAGAAACACATTAAATTAAATAAGAAAAAAGAAATCCAGTTGTTGTTCCATGTATCATCAACATAAATTTGTTATTTTCCAAGTTTTCGGATCTTCAATCTTAGCTCGGAAAATAATAAATATATGTAGATGAAACAACAACTGCATATTTAATGACATCTACATACAAAGAAACAAACCTTATAGTTAAGAAAAAAGAAATTTCACGAAAAATGTCCCTTTTCTGTTTTCTTTTGCATATGATTGGTTTTGAGAAAACAAGCCCAATTAAGTAAAAGGAAATTGAATTTCACGGACAAATTCGAGATTCAAGGTTAAAACAATATAAAGATGATGGTAATGTCCTTTTGTTTTTTGTTTTAAAGTGTTGTCCGGTTCTTAAGAAGAAAATAATTATAAATGTAACTTGACAAAAAAAAAGGGATGGTAAAATCATATTGCGGTTAAACTTAAGAAATCGGTAATATAATACGGAATTTATTACTTTGATGGACGAATCTCCAAGGTTAACTCATAATAAGTTTTTTAAGTTGTTTCTAAGATGACTGCGTGATTGGTCAGTGAACCTCTAGACTGCCTCTTGCACCCTATGCAGTCTTCTCTCCTGACGACTGTAGATTCAGTTTCATTTCACCTGTACATGACAATCGAGTTAAGTACAGCAAAGTTTCTTTACTCAGTGAATGCTTCAAATATCAGTCGCAAAAGCATGAGTAATATCAGTAGCCCGGTCATCAACTTTACTTGTCCTTTATTTGAAACTCACTTGTTTTACAGATCACCAAGCCACGAAGAAAAAAGTTTTTTACTTGCCATGATTGTCCTCAACGCTGTTATGGCTGCTGTAACAAGCTGCAGTAATGCTGTGGTTATTTACACCATTTCAAGAACGCCTTCTCTACAAACTCCTTCCAATATTCTCATTCTTGGTCTTGCTATTTCGGATTTCTGTGTCGGCATGTTCGTTCAGCCCAGTTACTGTGTCTTCAGATACGCTGAGTACCGCCGCCATATTGATATGTTTTGTACGTGTAGTCAGGTGTATCTTTATTCCTGTGTGATGCTTATAGGCATCTCTATAGCTACCCTAACCTCTATCACAGGAGATCGATTCCTAGCAGTCCATCTGCACCTGCGCTACCGAGAACTCGTCACTATCAAACGATACGGAATACTTCTTGCCATAATATGGGCTTTTGGTGTCACTTTGACTATCGTCACTTTATTCAAGTTTGGAAAAGGTCTTATTGCAGTATACATCCTTATTTTCGTAGTCTTATTTCTAATGAATGTATACTTTATTTGGAAGGTATTTCGTGTCATTCGCCGCCATTCAGCACAGATACAAGTTCAGCAACAATCAGCTCTCCACTCCATCAAAAGGCGCAAAAAATCCGTTTACACGATGTACAGTATGATTGCTGCTTTCCTGATGTGCTATATCCCGTATTTAGGCGCGTCGATCGGGAATATATTGAATAAGAGGATGACACAGGCTACCCGCAACGTCATAATCGTCACGGAGACTCTCATCATGTTCAATTGCGTGTTGAACCCTATCATTTATTGCTGGAGGATCGAAGATATGAGGGATGCTGTTTTTAATCTTCTTAAGAAGTCGTCGCGACGAGATAAGAAAAACCTCTCTGAACCACAAAAAACTACGTAGCGAGCAGAGGTGGAAGGGGAATTAGGAGATTAATTTAATCACTCACTCATTTAATCATGATTATGTCATCCAACATGGCCGCCATCACATAATCATGCCAAATTATGCTCAAATAATATATATCACACTAAGTGTTAAAAAAATGATGCCATTTGTAAAAGATTTGAAAAATGAAGTACGATATAGATTATAAGTAGCAAATATATAGTGCAAAACACTTACAGAATTATTAACTTTCTCGTTATAGCTTGGACTTGATTGGCCCCAGAAGCCTACTTGCTCGCATCTTCTTTTCATTGATCACCTAGTTTGAAAAAATGATAATCTCAAATAATCAATAATAATAATAATTAGCAATTAGTCTTCGTTGGCCATGACCCCATCTATGAACGTGAGGGTAGGTGAGTTTTGGTCAGATGTTTAGAAGGTCCCTCCCCCCACCTTTGTATGTCCCC